AGATAAGTAGCTAAGGAAAACCTTGGCGATTACATTGATCAGTATTTTACCAATTAGTTTGCTAGATAGACGGAATGGATGTTCACTCACTTTCAAAATTGTTGTGGTTTTTTTCAGCTATAAGTATATATTAAGTTTTTTGTTCAGACATGTTTCTGAATTGGGTGGAAAAAAGTTAAATAGTTAATGTGACTACAAAACAAGTTGTTTGGTGCATTTTAATTTTTTCCTATAGAGCTCAGCCTCAGTAATAAGAAGCTGGGGGGGGATGGCATACTTAAGGTTTAACTTATGGTAAGACTGATTAAATATTTTTCCCATAACATTTGACCAGAGTGTTTACAATATAGTTGATAAGTAGTAGGAAAAGTAGGAATGAGTTTTTAACACAGAGCTCTATACTGACTTAGAGATGAGAAAGCTCATGTGCATTGAGCTTAACTCTCTGTTAGTTCATCTTGACTTCCTGGGTGTTCATTTTTTTTGAGTGTGGCACAGTGAAAGGAACTACAAGAATGCTAGTTCACTCTGTGCCAACTTTCCACTCTCCCTATCTGGTGGTGATTGTGAGGAAGTGCAGCAAATGCTTACGTACTTTACAGTGGAGAATGTGTCAGATTTCTAGACAGCCACGCAAGAACAACAGCTGAAGGTAAAGGCAGGCTCTTGTACATCAGTTGCAAAAGCTTTCAACTGTGAGTTAGAGTCAAGGATGAAAGGTGACAGGGTTAAGCGAGTGGGAGATGGACGGAGTTGAGATATTTGCACTGTGTTGTGCAAAACAAGCTTGGCCTTGCTGAACCCCCCTGAACATCATGTGAATGCAGCTTTTAATGGAGGTGATTCTAAAGTATCCCAGGACTTTATTATTGTGCTTGCTATCTACTGCTAAGTCTGTGGTCGAACGAGTTTGTGTAGTTCAGAGCTATGCATTGGTAGGGAGGTTCACATGCTCGTTTTGTATTGTAGTGGACTTAGAACTCGGGCTGCTGGTAGTTATCAAAACAATGTTTGAGAAAACAGAGGGAGGAAATTTGGAAATCTTGCTCTCTGGGTTACTGTAGATTGCTGTGGTAAGTTCAGCTTGCTTTCTGGTTTTTGAAAGCTTAGATTTATTTTGAAAGTTTCATTTAGAGTTGAATCAAAGAAAAATGTATAACGATGAATGTCTCTTCACATTCTTGCTGAGGGAGTTTTGAGATATTTTAGAGGTAATTGCTATGCATGGGAACCACGTACTTTATTCTTAGAAGAGCCAGGGTATTTCTGGAAGGCAGTAATTTAAATGGTCATTTGCTCACCTCCCATTTGGAACATATCAGAAAAGTCGGCTAGGGGCTTATGTAGCTGAAGTAAGGGATGAGCATAAGAAGGTCAAGATAGACAAACTGAAGGCATTTTGTGTGGATTCAGCCTCTCAGATACTCAGAAGTATTTTAAAACAAAGTATGAAATATTAGCATTGTTGAAGGAAATTAGTAACTAAAAATAATTTACACTTCATGCTTAGCCAAATTTGGTAACTTTTCTGGTAAGTTTGAGTTGTGCACTTGTCCAAATATTTTATATTTAATTGTTTTTCTTGTCTGTCACTTGTATGTCCACCTGAGATGTTTATCTTATTGCCTTGTTTTTATGTACTCCAGGGAAAACTAAAGGAGGCTACTAGCCGTGCATTAAAAGCATGACTGATGGATATATTTAAGCTCACAAAACCTCAGAGTGTTTTCAGAGATGTATCTGAAATCAGAGTTTGACAGCCCAACCGTAACTGTTGGGTATTCTCCAGGTATTGGTGAAGTCTCAAGCCAGAATTTAATAATCCTTATGTTTCTACAGTTAAAACTATAATATTCAAGTACAGCAATGCAAATTAAAGACTGAGTTCGAGCTCTATTTCTGCCTATGATTGAACAGATTTTTTTTCATGCTGGATTAAACCTTTAAACTATCAGGCTGAGAAGGAAATTTGCCTGCTGGTGAAGGCAGCGTGCATCACTGAGCAGTACTAGGTTTATCTGTGTGGGAGACTACTTTACTGGAGGCTAATCCAGTTCAGCTGAATGTGAACTGTCTGAGGACCATTGCAGACCTTATCTTTCGATTACATTCTTTGGCCTTGCCCCCTGAAAAACAAATGTAGATCATACTCAGTATCAAAAACTTCCACAGAATACTCAGAGGATAGTACGAGTGAAAATGAACTCCGTATAGCAGATGGCACGCAAAGCCATAGTCCCGTGACTTACTGGCAGCTACAGTTCTGATAGCCCGTTGCACTATTAGACTATGCCTGTACTAGTAAATAAGATGCATAAGAGCTTGTTTCTGGCCGTAAAAGCAACTGGCACAGCATGGCTTGTGTCCATATGGCTAAACCTTCTCCCCTCTGCAAACAGGTTGGCTTTATCCGTGCTGTCTGTCTGGAACAGCCATGGCTTGAGTTATCCCCTGAACCATAGTCTGGGCATTGCCTGGGAGAGTGCTAGTTGGCAGGGGGTCAAAGCTGTACTGGAGGCTGTGTTCATTAAACGCTGTGGATGATTACGGACAGGGACTGAGTTAGCAGCCTGATCCTGCTGAGTTTACTAAGGTAGGTGTAGTAATAAGCCCTGTGTAAGGACCATGCTGGAATCTCTGTGATACAATACAATAGTCTCCTAAAAGTAAATTTAGTAAGTCTACAAAGAAAAAGTCTCCCAGTTCTTCATAGAAATGATTCATGGTCTACAGATGAGATTCAGTTAAGTGTGTGTTTGTATCTGTAAGCTTAACCCATTGTGTGGGACATCCAGCCCTTGACCAGAAGAGAAATTTTATTAGTAGCCACACTTTTTTTGATGGTTCCTACGTACAGGTAGGTAGTGCACAGATGGTTGCTGTAGCACAGTCAGAGAATGCAGAGCATGCGTGACCTTGTTCACTGAGCATTCCAGCCTTTCTGCAAGCAGTCTGTGACAGAACTGAGTGTACAGAACGTGTGCGAATCTACCCCTGTAAGAGCTATATAGACAGGTGTTGCTTTGAGACTTTACTCTCTTTATTCAGGAATTGATATGGGGAAGGGAAAATATTATCCAAAAAGTTTATTTAGTAGTGAATTTCTGAGAAGAGAAGCTTGTCTCTTCAGACACAAACTGCAGGTCTGCTTTTGCAAGGAACAGGTGGCTGATGGGTACCTTGCAGCTCCTGGCAAGCCCTGAGGCCTTACAATAGCTATTAGAGCTCATTTGATACATCTAAATGACAATGAAATGTCCAACTCTGATTACATTTTTAATGGAATCAGAAAAGTGTATGAACTTTTTAGAAATTTTTTTTTTTTCTATCTAGGTGTATTTCATGGCTGGTCTTACTACATTTGTTTGATTAAACCTTTTAAACTTTTTGATGCTTCTTTTCTGTTGTCAGTTTGGAAGAAGCCCTGATATCACTTTATTGAAATAGAAAGTGCAAAAATACAAGGAGTGGCCATGTGATAAATGTCACTCTTGCTTATACTGGATGATTTCCAGGCAACAGATTTATGTCAAATTGTGGTGTTTTAATGATGAAAATGCTAACACTTTAAGAAGAAATTACCTATTTGCAGGAAACACGCAGTTCTTCAAAGAAGCCAAAGGGGATAGGGCTTACTTTTTCCTTTAAACTCAGCAGTGCTTGGTGGGCAGGTTGCACATATGAAAACCTGTGTTCTTATTGACTGCCTCAGCTTCTGCAGGTATCGGCCAGAGTAGAGACAAAAGTAGGAAAGGGTATATTCGTAAGACGTGCTCCTTCACTGAAGTTCTCCAAGGTGAAGTTTGGTAGCCCCTCCGTAGAGGCATTTACAGTTTGGCACAAAACCTACTGGGATAAGTTTAGACTCTCTTTAGCAATGACAGATGGTAGAACTGTTCAGTTTATTTGTTCGCAGTTTACTGTCTAAAGACTGAGTGGTATATTTTGTTAAAAAATGTGTGGGAGAGTGACAAAGATAAAGGTTGCTTTTCCGGAAAAGTATTGGACTGGAGAATGGGACTGA